CACACACACACACACACACACACACACACACACACACACACACACACACACACACACACACACACACACACACACACACACACACACGGACGTTGTGTGAGCGCCCTCTGCTGAGCGTAAATACTCAGTAATGTCAGTAACAATGCATAGCCCTTCCACTTTTTAATTCTGATATATTGCACATATTTTATTTATTTTTTAAGAGTAAATTCTCATACTGTTTTGAATATTTAGATTTCTTGTAAAATGTTATAACAGTCCTTTTTAATCCCCTTTATGTATGCACCATTTTACACCAAAGCAAATTCTTCGTATTCGTGAACCTACATGGCAAAAAAACCTGGTTCTGCGAGGAAATTAAAACATATTTTATTAATAAAAATACGAATGAAATCAATCCCTGTTTTAAAATATCTATTAATAAAAAATGTTTGGCAATAGCTGTTAATACAAACATACACAATTTATTATCACTCTAGTATGTAGTCGTTTTTCTTGCCAGAGGAAGAGTCTAACATTTGAATTCCACCTCCAGACCATTTTTAAAGTATGTTAACAATACTCAAGACTTGAATGGTATTGTAAATGCATTTTGATTTTGAATGAATGATTGTTTCTGGTAAGTTTTGGCCTCACGTCAGCAGGAGCGAAGGCACAGCGGGCCCCCAGACTGGCTGCCAGGGCGGCTCCGTCAGAGGAGGGCAGGTCCAGGATCACAGCGGACGCTCCCATCTGGATCAGACGCTCCACGGTGGCCCGGCCCAAACCTGACGCACCGCCCGTCACCAGACCCACCATGCCCTACCCAGCATGGAGGGAACAGAGGGAGGAGGGGGGTTCAAGATATAGGAAACACAAGAAATTAAAAAAAATTAATTAGGAAAGAATACAGGGAAAAAAAACGGGTCACTGTGGAAGGCGGGTGAAAAAAGAACGCAGTGATTAAATTCACACATTAAAGGTGGGGTAGGTAATTTTGGAGAAACCAGCTCGAGTGCGCTACAATTTGAAAATACACAGCCGGAACAAATCTGCCACTTCCTTACAGAGCCCCTCCTCCAACACACACGAACGCGCACATGACCAATGAGGGCACGAGATAAGTTTGTGCACAGATGGAAGGCTGACAGGCAGGTAGGCCATCCAGTTACTTTAGCGGGCCGGCTAAAATGATTGGTCGTGCTTTTCACAGTACTATTATGGATTTTTTGTCAAAGCACTTCAGATATTCATTGCTATCGGGATGTTAAGAGCATTCCATGGAATATAACAAAAAGTGTATCTCGAGCCGGCTTCTCAAACTTACCTACCCCACTTTTAATGACCAAAGAATATACGTTTTTTTTTTTTTTTTAAATCCAACCTTTGGTCTAAATTCTTTAAATCTAATACATAAATACTAATACAATTTCAGTTTTTATCATATCGAAAGTCACGTATCAATAGTGAGGATTAATGAAAAATTGAGGAAAGAAATGCTAATGTTTTGTTTGTTTAGCGTCTTGTAAAAATGTCTACACTTCACCTGTATGCATATCTTGGATGATGATTAAATGTTTTTCATGTCAGATATTTTTTACACTTCACCTTTGTGCATATATTTGATATTCTGCTTGAAAAATGAGGAAAAACTCCAACATTGTGTTCATTAACTTTCTCTTTTACTCATTTCATAAGGCAAATGTACATGATTTCAAAGCTTGAAAATGTACTCAATATTTTAAGTAAGTCCAAATAATGTTTCACCAAAGAAACAAGTATAGAAAAGAGGGATGAATGGAACTTCCTTTCATATCTTGGAAGTGTTGTTTATATATTAAGACATCAATGCTTTTTTATTTATGCAAATATGTATGTGATACTTTTTTAACCACTACAAAACACTCAATTAAATTACATATACCTCGGTGTTTTTACCTTAGTAAAGCACTTGAGTTAAAAATACCTAAATATAAGTAAAAATGACACTAAATAATATATAATTTATTTTGTGGATTAGGTGGAAACAGTGATGTAAAAACATGTTAGCTTCACAATTAAACTTCTGAACTACGACAAAAATACTCACATAATGTACACCACAAGAGCAATAACATAGTTAAAGATCAAATTCTCAAAGAGTAAACAATGTCAGTGCTGCAGTGTGAAGACTTATGTTTTTATTTCTCACCTTGACACACCGAATGTTCGCCATGTTGCTTTATGTGATTCTTCTTCGTCTTTTTCTGCTGATTTTTCTTCTTCGTGAGTTTCTTTTCGGCAGTTGGCAAACCACGCCCCCAACTGGTGACTTTTGTGTTGTGGCTCAGAACTGAAATAAGATGAAAAAATTAACTAAAACATTCAAATTAAATTAAATAAAACGAAAAATAGAAATAAATTAAATATTTAAATGCATATATATATTTTTTTTTTTGAATAACTCTGACATTTAAATAATATAAAAACATTGAATTAAATGATAATGAAATAATATATAATATCCAAGAACCCCAAAATAGATAATATTGATCTCCTGAACATATTTGAACAAAAAAATCTCATTCATGTTAAGCCTTCAATTTGCAAATGATGTGCTGCAGTGCAATCCTGTACACCCACATAATATTGGCAATTATATGTTTATATGTAAAGCATTTGTCAAATAAACAGTTCCAATAAAAAAAAACATTACATTTTCTTTTATTAAATAGCTGATATTGTTTTAGGGGAGGGACCCACCTGGTTCTGGTTTAGCCAATCAGTGAGCCGTTGAGGGAACAACCCACAGATGTTATCCAATCACAGCAGCTCAACTGAAGGTTATATGTCCAGTGTTTAACCTTTAGATAAAGTAATTATAAGTTAATCAAAAGTTATAGTCATGCATTAAAAAGGTGTACTTCATTAAAAGTACAAATGCATTCAAATAAAACTGCTCATCGGCATAGAAACTAAATTCAGCATAACGCATTATACATAATTATAATCCTTGATGCATTAATCCCTCATTTTAATTACTTTATATACTGTTGGACAGCTTGTGATTTGCCCAATGATTAATCGTCTTTTCTGAAATCTTTAGTATTTAATCATCTTGTCGTTGATCTGAAATGGTAAGGTAACTATTAAATTAAAGTGGTGGAGTATAGACCAATAGAAAATGTACTGTATATACTTGAATGCTTTTGACTCGCTCAGGATACAAATTCCCCCCACAAATAAAAAAATCCCAATTGACAAAACACACAAATCATTCAGTTACGTCATTTATTCCAAAATGGATGCAAAAATACAGAATTTAATATATTAGATATTTCTATACTCTAATTAAGAATCCATCCTTATGAACAGGTTCAATATGAATCCTAATTTCAGGGACAATGTTACCAACTGGAAGTGAATCCAAAAGAGAAATTAATATTCATCATGGAGCAGCTTTGATTAATTCCTTGACAGAAATGCATCTTTTTATTTAATTTAATGCTTTCAGACATTTTAAAACAACAACTACAATTCTGATAGCAGCTTTGACACTTTTTAAACTCACTGTAAACTGAATATTTGGGGGTTTAAGTTGTTAATACAAACACCAAACTAATCCATGTAATAATCTGCAGAAAAATCTGGTATGTTCAGGTTCTTTATTTGTACCCGTAGGTAGATTTTGTTTGCAGAGAAAAAGACGAGGGATCCATCCTGAGACTCTAAAAACAAACACATCTCTAATAAAAGGACTAATACAAAGTACAATTACACCCTGCTCCGTCAAATCTCAATACATATGTTGCAGCTCTAATACAGTTTTACATCAGAGGAGAGAAGCTGAAACTAATTAATTGTTGCTAAAACAGAGTGATTCCTGTTATTTAATTATCACAATAATTGCAGAAGAATTCCTCAAGTAAATACAAAAAAATGACAAACTAATCATGCAATACCCACTTTTTACAGAGAATCTAACCATGTGTTAGCTTACCGAACACATGCAAAAAGGGAAGGATGTACCGGTCTTCACGCGCTGCAGGAGCTGGTTATTTTGCCGCATTGTGGAAGGCAGTAAGTTGTACAGTTGTATCTCCAAAAAAGGGGTTGAAATATCCCAAACCCCACAACAACACAACTTACTACCTCAACACAGCGCAGCTACAGACACACGCCAGCAGAAGAAAACTAGCTAAATGAAACCAATGTAATCTTGGAGCAGTGCTGGTCAACCGATGGCAACAGAAGCTTCAGTCACCGTGGCAACTGAAAGCAAGATTCTGATAGGCTGCCGACGGTCTCCATCGTGGAGGTGATGGTTTAGGTTGCCGTGAGAAAGAGAGTAGGCTGTATAGTTATCTCCCAGATCTGGTGTGATCCTAAAACTATACAAACTACTACCTCATCCCACAGCTCCCCCTTCTTATCTGGAGACAAAAATCATTACAATATATTTACAGCAAAATAAATCTGTCCCCCGTCGTCTAGTAGTCATTTATTTCAATCCTTATTTTTCTAAAAGAATGCACATATAAATGAATAATAAGCATGAGAGGGATAGTAGTGGATGGGGCAGCCACAAAACATATTTTAGCAGCTTAAAACAAATATCTATATTAATTTTAGTCTGAAACTGTAAGGTAAAGAAGTGAAAATATTATAATAAAACTCAGACGTGGAATGATATCCTTTATACATGCTCTCATTAAAAGCCACCAGACTTCATTAACATACATAGACATTTTACCAAGCAGAATGTGCAGGGTTTGTCTACCAGTGCTCTGATTGGTTAGTTAGTTAGTTTGAGTAATTGTGTGATTTTGGTGAATCCGAACATACCCCTGTGAACACCAAAGTCACACAGTAAAACAACAAACTCACTAATGAAGATAAAGAGTAGATTAACAGATCCTGTGTTTCACAAAGTTAAATTACCTGTTTTGGTAATGGAGTCTGGTGGCCTCCAAGAAAGAGAAAGACTGCCTTTAATTGCCTGTGAGAAAGGGCTGTCTTAAACAAAGTAAAGCAGTACAAATATTCGTGTTGGTTTAAGTTGGATGACATGTTTTTTTCTAATGCCCCCATCCACAGCAGTACATTGCTCTGCTCTTTTACTCAGGTTCTCCAAACTGGGGGCGTGCCGACCACCATACATCAACTATTGAGAAGTAATCATAAAACTTCTCGTAAAAATTATCAGAACTACGCCTTTAAAAACCTAATTCTAATGTGTCTATTTCACTATACTAAGGCTATACAAAGAAGAACAAAACCACACGTTTCACACACTATAATTAGTTTTCTATGTTACGTATTTAGACCTTGTATCGAAATATGCATAGTGAACTACACATTATGTATTCCTCGTCTTAACCATTATACAAGTTAACCTCTTTTACAGATTAACAGCTTTTCACATTTGTCCCTTCCCTTCATGTATTTAACATTCCTACTCACCTCAGTTCAAACTGGCTCTATTATTCCAAACAATCACAAAATACACATTTTGCTTTTTACATGATCCGTGCAGTTTTTTGCCAATTTCTGTTAAAAGATATCTGACAAGGAGGACAGTAGTGAAAGATTAAAGATTTTAGAGAACAGAAAAGGAGACCAATCCTTCAGAAAAATGTTAAGCCTACTTCTCAAGATGCTTCCTCTCCTTGAGGAGGGTCTTCAGTGGCAGACCTAGGGGACAAAAACAACATAAAACATGCTATAAAAAGGTGCAGGACATGACGAGCTGGCCTCACCACCAACGCACATCCAACGCACATCCAGCAGCAATCAATGAGCCGCCGCTAACACGGTCTGCTGGTAGCTAGTACCCTCAATCAGGTGAGGCTAACAGGCTAAACCTGGACACCTTCATAGCCTTACAAGCTCTTTAGCTGCTTAGCAAATAAACATGTATTAACATTAACAATACATATATTAAATTAGTAAGAATTAAAACCCTGTTGCAGAGTGGTTAGTTTAGCTTTTAAATGCAGCAGAAGCCGTTGAAGTCAGCTAGCCCGCTAAGCTAGCCCGCTAAGCTAGCCCAACAGTGTTAACTAGCTGACAGCTAACAGGAATTGGCGGTTCTCGAGCTCCCGGTCCTCCCGGTTCTCCCGCCCCGCTGTCACATCCTCCGGTCCCGCTTCCTCCTGCTGCTGCTGCCGGGGTTCCTGTGCTGGTTCGTCTGGATCAGCACCAGTTATCGATGTGAGCCTCACAGCGGACGTTACTCGTACACGGTACCAACATTTCTGAGCAGAAGTATCGCAGCGAAATGTTTCGATGCCTCGCTTCACCACGCCAAAAATCACGTGACCAACCCCTGAAAACGAGGCCTAGTGACGTCACGATTGTGTCAGAGAGATTTTTTATTTTTTTATTTAATAAAATAAAAATGATACAATAAAAATAACAGGAGTTTAAAAATAATAATAATAAAAATGATAGTAAGAATAATAGGGATTATATACAACTTTATATAGGACTTTATTTAGAATGAAGAAATATATATTTTAATATATTTATTTTTTAAAACAAAATACAGATAGAAACAAAATTAATATAGATATAAAATAGAATTAAAACAAATATATATAGAACCGAAGGATACACAAATTAAGTCAATTTTTATATAAATAATATTATTATTATTTAAAATTCCAGGCATAGATAATAATTGTATTCAATATAATAAGAGTGTATACACTATATATAGAAACATAAAGTCAATTTTAATTTAAAAAAAAGGTTGGGGTTAAAACACTAGGAATAGAGAAGTAAAAAAAATTACATTATTACTCCTTACACTATATTGTAAGGAGCAAAGACTGAAAAAACAAGGATGTAGAACAAAGCACATTTTTGAAATGGAAAGTACGGTACTTGAGTAAATATAGTTGTAACCTTCCACCAATGACATTTAGTAATATTTTTTAATGAAGGACTTTGACTTGTTCTGTAGTATTATGTGTGGTAATGATACTTTAAGTGCAGTAAAGGACATGACTTCTTCCATCACTATTTTAAAGATATTCATAAAATTCACAATTATCAAATCATTTTACACGCAATTAAAATGATTGCTATATTTATGGAATAAAAGAAATGCAGCAATCATACTGAAGTCCAATGTTCTCAAGCTTTCATAAACAAAGCTTAAAGATGGGGTAGGTAAGAATGGAGAAACCAGCTCGAGTGCGCTAGAATTTGAAAGTACTCAACCGAAAAAAATCTGCCCCTTCCTTCAGACTTCCCAGAGCCCCTCCTCCAACACACACGAACGCACACATGACCAATGAGGGCACGAGATAAGTTTGTGCACGAGATACATTTGTGCACGAGATACACATTTGTGCACGAGATGAAAGGCTGACAGGCAGGTAGGCCATCCAGTTATTTTAGCCGGGCCGGCTCAGATGATTGGTCGTGCTTTTTACAGCGCCACGCCTTCCACAGATGATTTTTTTTAATATATATTTATTGTCAAAGCATTTAATATATTAATTGCTATCGGGATGTTAACAGCATTCCATGGAATACAACAAAAAGTGTTTCTGAAGTGAATCACCTAACCCATCTTTAAGTACCTGCACATTTAAACATTTCATATAAAAAGACACTAGACTCCAGAAATACTTTTTTTACTAAAAGAATAAATTTTATTTCAGCACTGTAAGTCATTTCCCAACCAGTACAAACATGACTGCCATCTTTGTCTCTTTCTGAACCTTTCCTCCCCTCCCTCTGTGAGATCAGACCACCAACAGCCAGACAAAAAAAAAAAAAAAAAGCTTTCTTTTTTCTCATCTTTCCACAAACAGTCTGGTGCTTCCATAATGCTAACAATGATGACAAATTATACCGACCATAATTATAACAGCAATAATGATGATAATATTTCTATAACAATAATATTATGGATAAATTTAACCCTTTTCGTTGCGCAGGTAGTTTTGAGTGGATACTGTAGTACATGCATTGGTACATTTGTGGCTAAGGGCCCAATCGTGACAAAACAAAAAAATAGCCAATAATGATCAACTTGAACCCATTTTTTGGGACTCCATTGGAGGAGGGGGNGGGGGGGGATTATACTGGAGCTTGGGGGGCTGTTGAGGGAGGGTTTGGCAGTGTAGAGAGAGACAGACATATAGGGACCTTTATTCAAGCAGGACAAAATGCTGTGAGAACCCTGCAAATAGATCAGAACAGGTACAACACAGCTGATGACCCCTTTCCACATTCTGTATGACAGACAATAACACTGTTTGACTTCTACAATACAACATAGCACACTTATATTCTTCTGGGACTTTTGGTTCTCTTCAACATTGTCGAGCTCCTGAAGAGGCGCTCCCATTTGTGTCGGCTGTGAGGCAAGATGCCTTTACTATCCGCTGGACAACTCTTATCATTTCAGTCAGAGAAGGTGAATTTTCCTCATGACACTTCGGCTGAGAGCAGGAAATTGATCAGAAATGCATTGAATTGATTGTTTGATGTCATTTTCTCAATTAACAAATTCATAGTTGAATGAATAACATTTAAAAAAATAAGTTTCACAATTTCCATGCAAAAAGTCATGAACAAATCCACGTGGCAACTAAGAAGTACTTTCAATTAATATGCCCTTCTTTTCTTGTTTTTGTCTTAATGTGAGAATAAATAAATAAAAAGGCCTGTTAAGAAAATGCTTGAAATTTTTGCTCCAACATTTGATCTAAATTAACAAAATGGTAGTATATAGTTGCAGATTTGTTCATAGATTAACCTCTAATCTATTAATTAACTTCACCAAGGAAATGTTTTCAGATTGGTTTCTTTGTACGCAGGTTTACAAAAATGAATAATGATCCTGAAACTTGGTGAAAGGGTGTAGTATGGGTCTTAGAATACGATTGTGGATCTTAACAATCATAAATGATTTCTTAGTTGCACTTCACATGCCATGTATTTAGATGCTAAATAATCTCAGATTTGTGTTTTGAGGAAAATCCAGCCACATTCAGAATATCCATGCCCACGTGTGAAGAGACTCAGCTCCTCAGATTCAATCCGAGTCTGGGCAGTTAAAGGCAAGTTTGAGAGAGCACAACAATAACATGTGAGAAATGCTAAAGAGGGCGCCAAAACCCCAGCGTGACTGAAAGCACATCTGCCAGATGTTGTTCCTTTTTGTATTAGTGTTGATCTGAGCGTGTGCAAATGGCTCGCACACAGCCTGAATTCAGTCAATGAAGAAGTTACAAAAAGGCGTGAGCGAGCAACAGGAGGGGTGATTTGACCCACAATGCCTAAAACCTGCCCACTCGCTCACTCACTGTCGAACAAAAACTTCCTTCCTTTCCCTGTCTGTCTGCGTCTCCACGAAAACCACGGCGTTTAAAAAAACACCGTTACCTCACAGACTTGTCAGATAAATCACACGTGCTGTAATGTCATTATATATATATATAATCATACTCATCGGAAAACTTGTTACTCGGGGGTAAACCGTCGATGCCGGGGAGCGGGAGGGGCTATGGGGGGCTTTATATGGAGTAGAGGGGATGCTAGGTGTACTTTGGTTCTCAGGTGTTTACAAGAGATGTTACGCTGCTTTGTGCAAGTTCAGCTTAGATTGATAATGAGTCGACCACGAAATAGTTTTCAGGGATATTATGAGGATCAGAACATAGTGCAGACGACAATTTGAATTTCGAAAACGGGCAATATTTACTTACGTACATAATAAACGGTGGTCTAAAGATGCCATATAAAATACAGGTAAGGAAAATCGCAATCATTACAGTTCAAATCTCTAGGTTGGCTAAGCGTATTTCAGTACTAACTGAAGCAATGGTAGAAGGATTAGATTAGAAGATGTAATAACATTAAAAATAGTAAGAAAAAACACATTTGCACAATTGAATAAAACCGTTTTGATTTTTTTTTTTCAGATTTTTTTTTCCAGACTCTGGCTAGATACATACAGAAACTGATTATCAACGTTAATATAACCTTTACTGTTAGTTGGGTTGATTAAGGGGCGGGGCAGCCCAAAGAGAAAAAACAGCCAATAGAAACGGTCCTAAAAGGGGCTAAAAGGAGAGGCAGAGAGGGAGGCGATAAGAGTGAAAGAGAGAACTGAAGAACCGGACAGGAGGGGTAACCTGTGTGTAAAATGTGTGGATTGGTTTTGTGTCAGTGCAAATTTAAATCAGTGGCCATGTTGTGTGTCTGTGTGTGTGTGTGGATGCATGTAGACTACAAGGAAGATTAGGGGGCATTAAAGAGAAGAAGTGAATGAACCTTTTATGGGGGAGTAGGAGGGGGGGCGAGAAAAAGTGTAATAGCAGGGGGGGGCGGGGGGTTAGGATAACAAGCATAAAAATCACTGATCAAATATCTATCGAACTAAAACAGACAAGGACGAGAGAGGGACACTACATCATGTATTGTGTTGACTTTATTTTATCCATACTAGCTACTGTGTAACTCAGGGTTTAACATCTATGTATGTGTGTGTTGTGTGGTAATGTGTGTGTGTAAGTGTGTGTGTTTAAGTGTGTGTATATATGGTTGTGTTTGTCATGGCCTGTATTTTTAAATCCATCCATGCAAACTTGAAAATGTGGGATATTTTTTTTGTATAAGACTCAGTAGAATGTGTTACCAAAAAATGATCTCTGATGAACTGAAGAGCACTCCACTGGGAACTGAAACTGCACAAAATCACTTCAGCACAAAAGCAGAGAGAATGCCGCTGGTAACAAATGCAACTGAATACCTGTATGTGTGTGTTTTGTTTAAATGTATATGTGTGTGTCTGTGTGGCATTTCTGGTATCTGGCGAGCGAATCGAGAGAGGGCATCGTATACCAGATCACGCTCTGGCTCGCCGCAGAAAAGCCATCTTCTAACAATGTACTGTTGCGATACACATATTTGTACTAATGTCAAAAGTTGAAAAGCAGTTAAGTATATGACTCCTAGTAATTCTAGACTTAGTATTTTTCGGCCAGTGGAGCTATATTCTCTAGCCTAGTCTTGGTGTCTGTGTTATTACAGTCCTGTGTTCAGCCCGACGCCGTTACCTACTCTTCACCTATGAACACCTACAGTACTCGAACTCTTAATCCCTACCAATCAACGGCTAACGGGTCCGAAACCTCTGATTTCATTTGGTGTAAGAGACGGCGGCGCGGCCCAGCCTTGTGATGGCGAGCGTAGGCCTACGACTCGCGGCTGGGTCAACGGTCATGGTTGAGTTCATAAACTGAGGGGATGTCTGACGCGACTACATTAACACTTACAGATATAGTCAGGGTTTTTTCCTTCAAAACGGCATTTCGTAAGAGCTTCTTTTCCATGTCAATTTTGTGGCACACGATAGAGCACAAGTCATCAACATAGTAAGAAAATAAGGTGCTTCTTTGTTGACTTGCCTTTTTTTAACATAGTGAGCTCATTTCAACCTCTCCAAGTAAGTTTATAGAGATTTACAATGATCATGGCCAGCATCTCTCAGGCAGTATCTGTCGGTGTACTGCTTTTTACATTTTGCAGTTGTGCTACCGGCTATTGGTAAATTGTATTTCCGTAGTCAGATGAAATCTACTATGTGGGACACATCTCATTCTCTACAAACATAAGTGCTCTAATAAAACAATTCAATATCTTAGAAGTCTCAGATTGTTGAGCGGCCCTCTGGGGGGTCCGCCATGAGGCCTCCCTCTCTCCCGTCATGTGATCCGACCCATAAAGCCTCGCCGTGTTTTCAGGCCGAGGTGCTTCAGGGCAGGGAAGTGCTTCCTGTTGGTCTAAAGTGACACACCAGAGCGCTGCGGCTCATGGTGTTGGGCTATCGTAAATGACAACCGAAACTCAATCACCACCTGAGTGGGTGGGGGGGGGGGGCTCTTTGAGGATTTGTCACTCGCCACACCCCTTTTATATCACTGGCTGCCTCAGTAGGCTGGCCTTTCTTAAAATACACTTTGGAAATAACTTTTTTTTAGAAATCTGAAAAGATTCCCAAGGACCCTCGACGCGGAACATCAGGAGTCCTTTTTCAGCTTAATTGCAAAGTTTTATGTCTGAACGTGCGAGGCCAGTCTGCGGGGAACTCCGCCTGGCAGCAGTTACCCAAACCCTCACCGTTCATATCCATCTTTTGTCTGGCAGCATTATTCTTTTCTTTTTTGGCCTTGAACTCCAGAACGTGCCTCAGAGTTTTATCATTTCTTTCTCACCTGGTAGAAGACTATCCAGTGTGGTTTAAACTTTTCTTTTTTTTTTTTTTTAAAAACAAAGTGCCTCTTTGTCTGAAACCACTCTGTTCACATTCTGATGTCTCTCAAATACATCTCTACCTTTATATGTAGTTCTACAAGTCATAATGATTTACTTAGGGGCGGGGAACACCCCTCTCAGACGGTCAATTAACCGGTATAGGGGTTTGTTCAAATTCATCATATTTAAATACAACATTAAGTGCTTCCGTTTGGGTAATACAATCAAAGCTTTGGGAGTAAAGGACAAGGGGCATGGGAGGATAATATTATAATGCACTTTTTTTTTTGGAGGAGCGGGGTTATATCTTTCATACTTTAGGGCTTAAGGTGCATAAATGCGGGGGGTCTCAAAGCACAGCTAAGCACTGGTCTATGCTACATTGGTCAAAGTAAGATATCACGCCAATACCGTGGTGGTGCAGAAGTGCTCCTGTGATAGATAACCAATCAATCAATAAAAGGGGTTCTTTGCTAGTAAGTATACCAACGTTGTGAGTACGGAGGGGCGGGGGGTCACTGCACAGAAGAATGGTACCATCACTTTGTTAAAATCTTACTCACATACCTAGAATTCATGTAAGATAAATCTCACACGAGACGGCTATGGCAACAAACCAACCATCAAACACGTCAACACCGACCATGGCGCCCAGGCCTAGATGCTGTAACCATGGAAACCACATCCAATCTGTCACCCTAAACCGCATGCTTAACATCTGACAATGGGACCATTAAAAACACAAAATAAGACATTTTAACTGTACAGATACCCATACTTTAAGGGGGGGGGGTTTAAGTGCTTGGTTGTAACGGGGGTGGGCTTAAGCTTATTTTACTCTTGAATGCAGGAGGGAGGCATTTAGGATTTTTGAGGGGCGGGGCGCTTACAGACTCATGGAGAAAACCTCTCTTTGTAAAACAATGTAAAACCACATGAAAAACTTAACAGGAAGTAACAGCTAACTGCCACTGAACGTCCCATGGAGCAGGGGGGGGGTGGGGGCGAGCCTCGCTGCACCTCCTGCTCCATGTGACGCTGCACAGCTAGCAGGGCGGGGCTACAAAAACAGGGGAAGGCAGTCAAACACAGAACTCTCTCAGAGCAATGCATCCTGGGAGAGGACGCCGTCACTCCTCCTTCTGTAGCGCTCCGTCTGACGGGCAGTCGTCAAGGCAAAAGGGGACCTCCACTTCCACCCCATCTGATTGGTTGTCTCTGGCTAAGGCACACGGGATTGGCTGGGCCAGGGGGGCCAGCTCCAGGGGGGGGGCGATGGCTGCAGCACTGCCGTTCAGCTGCTGAGGCGCAGCCTCTGGAGAGCCGGCCGCCTCCTCTGAGGGCTTTGGGGGGCTGCTGGAGGGGGGGGGAGGCGACGTCTGCAGGGCGATAGGCAGACAGAATATTAACAGAAGAGCAGCAGGACAGATGCAACGTGATAAAGAGGGAAATTATAGCTGTGATTGATATTCAGGTGGGAAAAGTACAATAAGATCAAAATGTATGGATTCTACTGTGGGAAGTATGAGGTCAGGAAATGATGGAGATGAATGAACTGTCTATAAAATATACTGCTTTATTTGGACGGGGGCAGCAGCAAAACATAATTTAGATGTTGAAAAAAAGTCTATATTTTCCCCACTGTACCTTGTTGTAAGACATCTTAATCTGACAGGGAAGTAAAACTGTTATCTATTCGCTCTTCAAAGCCAGCAGACTCCTTTGTCAAAATCTATTATTTAGGACACCGGAGTTTCCAATCTACCGCTGCCTTGATCAGTTAGTTTGCTTGTTGCATCCAAACTTAAACGTGCAAAAGTCACACAATAACACAAACTATGAGACTAGTCGCAGCAACGGTAAACCAGCATCTCCTGAATTCTGCACAGAAACATTACTGTTTCTATCAAAGGACTCCCGTGGCAGAGGCCTGCATAGTGGCAACGTAAGCTGAGAAAACAGTCAGTACTATATACATTGCTTAGCTTATATACTATTATACACCGACAATGAATACTTTACTCATACAACAGCACTGCAAAGAATCTCAACTATCGCTCTAAAGAGCTAAGGGTAAAAGTACAGTGGTTCTTACCTGTGATCTGTTGGTAGGCGTCTTTTTCACCACCCTTGGTTTAGCTGGAATCTCTTTACCCCTCCTGTGATCAAGAGACAGAACGAGGGGTATAAGTAGTCTGATTTAGGGTTTGATCTCACCAGCATTAAATTGCTCATTGTCGCCATCAGTAATTAACAGCCCATATTAATGTAATCACTATAACTCAACAGTCCAACTTTGAATCCAGAGTCACAATGACGGCATACAGTCATATGCTTGTGGCCGACTGATCTACCGAGATTATAAGAACACAGAGAAAATCCAGCTCTACGATAACTTGTCAGTTGTTAGGTGTATGAAGGATCCTCATGTTACTCACCCTCTCCCTGCTCCCACTGACACCACCTGCATGTTGAAGCCCCCTCTCCCACGGACTGGTTTGTTCCCGGCCCACTGGCCGACGACCATGCCAGCGATCTCCAGTTTCCCTCCCTGGGGGGGGATTGACTGAAGGCCTGAAGAAAGAAGAAAAGTGACTACTGATACTTTTCTTATTGTAGGGACTTAAATAAGAAACTATAGCGTTGTCAACATTCTATAAAACATGTATACATGACCTACTAACTAATACTCTATAGTACTGTATGTTGTTTTGCAGTAAGCAGCGTGATTTTATTTGTGGGGGCACCGCACCGCACCCCCCCCCGCAAGAAAATACATGCGAGTTCATGGCTACTGTAGACAACGTTCTTGTTGCTCTGTGTTGCGTTGTTAATGAGTGAGACACACCGGAGTTGAGGATCTGTGGGTTTTATTCTCCCAAAGATATCATTTACAATTCAGGCATTTAGCAGACGCCTCATTCTCCCTGGAGTAACTGAGGGCTGAGTGCCTTGCTCAAGGGCACACTAGTAGTGGTGTTCCAGGCGGGATTTGAACTCGCAACCTTCCGATCATCAGCCCACCTCACTATCCATTAGAACACCAAAATTCAAAAAATTCAAAAATATCTTTTTTTTTTTATGAGATCCATTTGTGGCGGACGATATTTAATTGTGGCGGGAATCTGTAAGGCTTTATATTAACGTCATTTTATAATACACGTGCTGCAGCTGTAACGAGTTGTCAGCTCTCACCATCTCATCCTCTTCCTTTATGGATTGCATTGAAGTAGAGATATCAAAAACACGCTTTTCAATGTTCTCACTTTTGCGTTCTTAAAAAGCTGCTAAGAACTGGTTTCTAGTTCGACATTTGGTTCAAAATGAAGATAATTATAAATCTATGAAAAGGACAAAGTATGTTAAAAAAAAAAGGAGGCATCCGTGTACCTGGGAAGGCTCTTGGTCTGTGCTGGGCGGGGTAGTGAGGATGGTGTGGGTGATGATGATGAGGCATGCCCATGGGGCGAGGTGGGTAGAGGGGAGGCATGGGGTAGAAAGGGGGCACCATGGAAGCGGGGAGGAAGGGAGGAGGTGGAAGAGGAGGGGGAGGAGGAGGAGGGCGGGACAGGTTGATGCCCTCGAGGATTGCCTGACGCATCTTCTCCACCTTGGACACCAGCTCCTCCTGCAGAGCACAGACACATGTGAGAAGTTATTGCTGTTAACGCACCACCAAGCTGAAGTGGAAATGTCTGTTCCCCAGACAGCCGTTAGCAGAGTGCCATTTGATTCTGCATATTAACATGTTCCCTGTGAGAAGCATTTAGCAAGTGAAGGACGTTCACAGTAACCGACAGCAGTCACATTCTTCCAGTTAAACATTTATTAAGTTCATCAATCATTTAAGATTATTAACGTTTTAGTTTTCAATCAGTACATTCAGTGTTTGGACCAAGTTACTCCTGAAAAATAAGGATGCCTAAATTGAAACGGCTTCAGCTGATTTGACAACATGCAAGATATTCATGTTTTAAATGTTAGTATCAAATTGGACTGGGAACCGGCCACTACACAAAGGCATTCAAATGCTTTATGAACTACATTTCTGTATTTAATGTACTTACTTTGGACTTGCACATAGAAATGTATATATATATTTATTTGTCTTCACTCATATGTATATATGCAATCTTAACTTCTACGTGCTGCATCAGGGTATATGCAGGAATCCTGAGGTCAAATGTAATACCTTTGAAGACCTTTTTTAAGACCCTTTATACATTTTAAGACCTCATCGTCACTTTGAGTTCTAACCGGTTACCTTGGCGACACACTTTACCTCATATTAACTATATAAAGTATTGATTGTCCTTCCTCCTTATCTTCCAACCATTTGGACGCAGACTTGCATTTCCCCATAACGATGTTGTTTAACAACCGGCGTAAACGGACCTTCACGCTATCAAGCAGTGAGCGTGTGATGTCCTGTTCAGATGACGTCAAATCCAACGGGATGCCATAAATAAACTACACAGAATCACACTACACACCTACGCAGTGATTACATTCAGGCAGACTGTAGAATACAACCTCTTTGGACCATTTATATACTTATTGGAAACAAGCTACAAAATGTAATACCTTGGAAAAATGCAGTTTAATACTTTTTAATAGCCTTCATTTTC